AGAGGGAGGGAGAGGAAGATAGAGAGAGAGAGAGAGAGAGAGAGAGAGATAGAAACATCAATGAAGAGAGAGAAACATCAATAAACTGCCTCCTGCATGCCCCCTGCTGGGGATGAAGCCCAAAACCCAGGCATGTGCCCTGACCAGGAATCGAACTGTGACCTCCTGGTTCATAGGTCGATGCTCAACCAGTGAGCCACACTGGCCGGGCGTGATAATACTTCTATTGCCACTAGCACTTTAAGGTGAGATTCAGCTGATGATCAATCGATTTGTATTCATTATACAACTGAATAAGAACAGACTTTTTAAAAATTGGCTTCACTTCCTTTTTTTTTTTTAACTGACTAGTCATGGCACGAAACAGTTGACTTGAGGAAAACAATTCTTTATCTGCTGCTATTATTTCACCACTGAAATACTTTAAAGAAATTTATTTATTTCAAAGAATCATGTAAACAAATACTTTTTTTTTTTTAAGAACAGGGTACATAGTTAGGAAGGATGCCATAAAAGAGAGGGAGGACTTTCTTAAAAAGAAGATTTGCTGAAAGTCAAAGCTTTTAAAAACAGTTCACTGTTACCCAGCCTCTGAGTCATAGTAGTATCTTGTGTAAGAAAGAAAGGAGCCAAACTGATTAAAGAGAAGTTTATTAACATGAATGGAGTCCTCACGCAGGCCAATCCTGACGCCTTGCCTGGGGTGAAATGTCATGGTGATTAAAGACAGCAGTCAATGCATTACACGTATATGGTGCTATTGAGGATTCAAGAAGCTTTCGCACACACTGTCACATTTAATTCCGGCAAAACCCTGTGAAGGAACGAATATCCATTCTCAAGGTGAAGCCACCGCTGAAGGTCAAATAGAAAGTGACAAAGCCAGGACACACACCTTGATCTTCTGCCTCTCGGGTCTGAACACTTCCCAATATATCCCGATTTTGAAAAATATTATTATTGGCTCTAGCATTGTTCAGTGTACTCGTGAGACATACCAGGAAGAGGAGGAGGCGGCAGCAAAGAGGGAGGAAGTGAATGGGAGAGAGGAGAGCTTTTGAATTTTCCAAATAGTCCACACTTTGCTGTGATTACACCACTGTCCTCTGTGCTCGTTCTTATCGAAACAGAGGGAGTTGCTTGTCCCTGTGGAAACTGTGGCTGCAAAACCAGTCTATGACCTTAAGGGCCAGCCACAGGAGCAGGCTGTTCTGTGGTTACTTAGCTCCGAGTGGCTGTTTCAGCAGTAGTTTTGCTTTATATGAAACGTTGTGTATTTTTACTCAGAAACAGCCTCCTGAGCTCTCATAAATCCCACCACTTATTGTCAGCCTCAAGGCAAATTTTGCTGACTTACTGATTTGGTACATTGCTTGGGGCTGTCCTTGGAAATCCCTCCCCCAGATTTCCTTTGGCCTACTTTCCCATAGTTGTCCAGGTAGGCTAACCCTTATTTTTATCTCATTTTCTAGCCAAGCCAACTCAAGAATGGAAATGTCTTCACCAAGTTCATGGCCTACAACCATAGGTGGGTTGGATGTCTATAACCCACTGCTGTGCAGACCTTTAATTTAATCTAGAAATTGAACCAGATTCAAGTCATCAGCCATTCTCCCAGGGCAGAAATACCTGGGTATATAGTGTCATAAAGGAAGGCTTAAAAACGTATACCATTGGTGGAGGGGTCAATGGGGACAAAGAAGGGGACATCTGTAATACTTTCAATAATAAAGATAACTATTTCTTAAAAGAACCAATTTTGCCATCTGCCTAACTGATGTAAACAACAGTTGAGTTCCTACGGCATATTTTTGGTCACAAACATATCACCAAACTTTTAAATAAAGACCCAAAATACTTTTAACCGTAAACAATGAAACAAATGTGAGCTATACATATATTTAATTGATTAACAGGGAAAAGAGGTCATTCGCCTAGAATATTTGTGAAGATCAGGTAGTGGTTTTTACAGATGTGGATGTGCCTGGCCCCTCTGGAACACCTATGCCCCACTTTATTCATTACTGAGTAGGTATGATATACATTTGTTTACCTCATGAGCCTATCTTGCATTTGTAAGTTATTTTGAAATGCTTATATAAAAACTAGAGGCCTGGTGCACGAAAATTTGTGCACTGGAGGGCGGGGTCCCTCAGCCCGGCATGCCCCCTCTCACAGTTCGGGAGCCCTCAGGGGATGTCCTACTGACAGCTTAAGCCCAAGTCTGGCCTCCCTCTGTGGGAGGTGACCAGACCGATCAGGGGAAGGCACCGCCCCCATCACCCCACCACTGCTGCTGCCACTGCCAGCCTCTGGCCCTCCTTGGCCCTCACAGCCGCTGCAGCTTTGTCTGGAAGGACATCCGGAAGACACTGGGTCTATCCGGTCTAACTAGCATATTACTCTTTTATTAATATAGATATTGACTAGGCTATAGGAATATGAGTTAGTACTGTAAATTCTAAGCATAAGGGAAAATTATAACTCCAAAACCACTCAATCATTACTCATACTGGTAAATATGAGAATATTATAATGTTGAACAATCAATATATATGAATCAAAGCTTAATTATAATTAATATTAAGTAACTACTAGTAAACAGGAGAGGTATAAAAATGTATAGGCCAATCCTGGCTCTCACTGAGCTTACAATTCATATGAGAAGAAAAGAGAAAAACATATAAAAATTAAATAGCAATATGAGAGATGTCAAAAGGCAAAATACTGTTCATTGACGCATGAAATGCGATGAGCAGAGTAAATACTATAGGCAGAGGAAGGAGAAATCATTTCCAGAAGCGGTTGATGGAGATGACTGTGAGATGAAAAAAGGTATCAGCCAGATATTGAAGGCTGAATCCACTACGACAGAGATGAAGGAGGGGATTCTTGGTGGAAGGAACTCAAGGGAAGTACAGATACCAAAAAAAAAAAAAAAAAAAAAAGTTTACATCCAGAAAAGGAAAGAAAAGAGAACTGTTAGAGTGGCAGGGAGTTCCAGTACAAGGTAGTTCGGGGAAGGCTACTTGGAAATGGACTGTGGAGGGCTTTGGATGCCAAATTGAGGAGTTAAGGTTTCTGAGCAGACAAGCATCTTGGTCACAGCAGCGTTTTGGAAATACAAATTTGGCTATGGTATGCCGAATCAAGTGGGGCAGAGAGGACTGGAGGCCGGGAGGTCACAGAAAACCCATGCCAAGTTCAGGTGTGAAATGATGGTCGTGGGATGGGAAAGGTAGAGGGGGTGGGGGGGAGGAAATACTGAGGGAGAAGCCCACTAGCTCCCAAAGGTGCTGATTAGCATTTATTGCTGGAGCTTACGGTTATTTTCTCAAATACTGTCAAATCTGTGGGTTCCTACAGTACTGGCACCCAGGCTTCTGCCCTGAAGTGATTCATTTTAACAGCTGTAAGTGGGAATGGGGAAATGGAGGAACTGTTCATTTTGAACTTGCAACATATAATGCCTGTACAAGTGGATATAGTGAACCTTTTCTTCTTGATCTTGTCTAAAGATAAAAAGTGTTAGCTGAAAAGTGCTTCCCCTCCCCCCCCCCAAAAAAATGCCATGAAATGTAGGAATTTTAAAGGAGATCTGAGAACAATTTATTTGGAGAGAAATCTAATGTTAGTCACTGAAGGAAAGCCCCAAGAATCCTGAGCGCCCTTTATGCCTGCAGCCCTCTGGTGGAACTCCTATTACAATACCCTTCTGGTTTTGATTTCCATTTAATGAGTTTATTCTCCAGAAATTCAGAGAAGCTTGGCCTCTCTCTCTCTCTCTTTCAATGAGCGGTGGAAATTTTCTGGAGAGTTTTTCCACAGTTCAAATATCATGCCCCCATACATGTACACAAATAAATGTATACATGATGTGTACAAATACATACATATTGATACATACGCTACAGTTACTGGCACCCAGGCTTCTGCAAGGAACGCCCACAAGCCAGTTCCGGCCTTATCGCTGACAGAAAACTGCAGTCCCTTCGTCCTTCTGGGGCACTTAAACTTGGCTCAGGCTCTTCCAGTAACACTACTTGTCAGAAAGATGGCGCTGGATAGAATGCCTCCTCCCTGCATTCCCTACACCTCACCCCACAGCACGGGGAACATCAAATTCAACATCAAATTCCCTTGGCTATTTTGAGACTGCCCCTTCAAGGGGGTGGAGGGGGGGACAGAAAGAAGCCGGAAGGGAAGACAGGTTTGCGGTGACGTGGGTAACTAAGATTCTCCAAAGCTTACACTGAAGGCAGGGGGCAGGCCCTGGCCCTGGCCCTCCCCTCTTTCTAGCCCGTCTCCTTTCCTTGCTCATCCTAACCTCTCCAAGTTGTCACAGTAAGCTGACAAGTCCCAGGACAGAGTGAATAAACAAATGAACCACCCACCAGCCCCCCCACCCCTTGTTAAACTCCAATGAACAAGTTTGGCCCTAAGGCAAATTTACATACTTGGATTTAAGTAAGAGAAGAGGGTTAAAACTGCTTGTCTTTATGACTGAATACGCATTGCTTTTAGCCCTTGACTTGGGTGGCTGTGGAAGTTAGTCTCTCTGCCAGGTAGAATGGTCTAGTTGCTAGAAAGATGTGTGAGTGATACAGAATATTCTCACGAACCCTTACATGGGTTATTTATTAGAAGCTGTTTCCTTCTCGAGGATTTAATTAAAGGTGTTTTCTTTTCAAAGCTGACCATGGAACTTACCATGGCTTAATCTGAGAGCGGGCTGTGTGTTCCTGGCGACTTATTCTGTCCTTTCGTCCCCACATATAATCCACAGGCAGCTGGGCACAAGGCTCACGAATTTCAAACCGATTCATTTGCCAACTCAAAAACCATGGCTCTAATCTCAACTGCTATCTGCTTTTAATCCTCCTGGGTATTTACATGTTTTCTTCTCTCCTCCCTCCCAACACTAATCCTAGAGTTTTGAGAATCTGGGAACTTGGGCAAAGGAGAAAACAACCAAGAAATCTGAAATCTCAGTTCATTACCTCAACCAAAAACCAACAGAGCCTTTTTGTTTGTATTGGCCCAACTCAAACGATCAGATCAGGTGAATCATAAAGCACAAAATACAGGTGTCCTTACTGGCTGTGAAAAGTCCACAGTGTAATTAAGTGTGCTCTCTCTTGGTGGTGGTGTCATTTACTCTACGCTTAAACGTTTGCGCTTCCTTAAGCCACTGTCTTTGTCGTGCAGGCACACACGGTTGCATCATACTCAGATTCGCCAGCTGGGCCTGGGGAGTGTGTGTTTTTCCTACCGGTCCTCAGCGTTAGCTGTCAGATGCGCTAGCCTTTGCCTTCCTTGCCGCATCTACCGCACTGGCACGCAAGCTCCTGGCGAGAACGTCGCCCAGAGAGCATTCCTGACAGATGCGCGGTTCGCTTTAGCCAGGCGCTCGGCTGGAAAGTTTCCTCTAACCGCGAACACCCGCTTTCTATCCCCGGAGCTGGCAGGGCGCAGGCTGACGGCCCCCGCTAGAAGGGGGAAATGGTTTTACACTCACTCCGCTAGGCTGCCCGACCTGAGGAACAATCTCTCCGCCAAACTCCTCCAACCCCCGCGCACAGGCTGTCCAACGCTCTCTGGGCTTAGAGAACGCCCAGGTCCCCTCTCCGCGGAAGGGAGCGCGGGCTCGCCGGCTGGCGATCTGG